GAATCGGGGAAGCTGGGGGCAGAGCAGCTCCAATGGTCCGGCTGCCCGGAGCACTTCCGGGTTCCTGATGGTGCTGGACCATCAGGAGTGCCGGACCATCGGAGTTTTACTGTACTTTGTTAAACTTAAATACATTCTTAAGCCCTTTCCTGAATAGGGAGAGACTTAAACTTATGCTTAAGTGCCTTCCTGAAGCAGGACCTTAATCACAATACATCAAAGTTTATTCTTTTTCATGATTAAAGAAGACATTTGAGCTTGCCATACAGCAATCACTGAAGAACAGTGCATGGTATTCATAGGGAAGCCCCTCACAGCCACTGCCAGCTTGACCTGCTTGTCTGATACTAATCACCAATGACCTGCTCCTATTGCTCAAGGTGATGAAAATCCCTCTGTGTTGCCAAACAGTAACTTATCTATAATTTTATATGATAATTTATATAACTAATTTCAAAGCAGTCCAAATTATATACTCACTATACCTAGGAGTTCATGTTCAGTGTTACATTTGCTTATTAGCTTATCTATCTTCCAACTACAGCACCAACAACAGGCCTCAGTTATTGAGTTGACTAAATACAGTCACCAAGCTCAAGTAGCTGGGTTCTGTGAATGGGGGGAAAAGGGAATCATCCCTCGTCTCCAGACCCAGGTTCAGCCATGTAAGGAAGCTGTTCCATTATTACTGCTGCACTTATGAGATTGTCACAGCCGTGTGCTGTTCCCCACACCTCATTCTGTCAGGAATATTCTGGCAATTCTGACCAGTGATAGATCCACTAGCCCCAGCTGGCTCATGTCCTAGCACCATTCTGTGCTCCTTAGGATGCACAGCAGCTCAGATTCCCTGTATGCACTTCACAGCTCTTATCCTCTTTATGCAGCAGAATCTTACAAGTAGCATTGTACCAGTGGCCACCTGCAGCCACTTAGCTAGGGACAGAATTTCTCCTTATTATAAAGGGTGCAGCTAGATAGGGGGATCTGCATCTGATGAGGGAAGGGAATCCTACCAGTCACTGTCAAACAAATATGTTTATTTAAAATGAGAAAAATAGTGTAGTGAACAAAAATAGTGTAGTGGTGCATGACCCCTAATTTGAAAAGCTTACCAGCACCAGCACTGCAAATTGCTCACCAGCACTGCAAATTGTGACTTTTGCTCTAGTGCAACATACCTTCAGAATGAGGTCATATTGCATTAAATATTAAAATGAATAATGCAGTCTGTTTAGTGTATTTCTAAAATGGTTTATTGCATTTCATGATGCAGCACAAATTGCAACTCAGATGAAGAATACAGTTTGCCACAGAAATGAGAAAGCTGTGCTGAGTAGTCTGGGTGCAGACTGTCGCAGACTACACAGGAGTCTGTTTGTAACTAACATGTTATTAATGTTGTCAAGTTTTTTGTCCAAAAGATAATTTCATTTGTAACTTTGGAGAAAATACACTTACCTGTTTCTGATTAATCTTGGTGGAGGAAAAAATGTTTTCTGTACACTTTTCTTTTTTTCACTTGGATAACTTTAAAAAACAGCTTTGTTTTTAAAAATCAAATTTTGCATGCCCATAATCTCCCTCCTTGGGTAAGTGTGTGCTTCACCATTCTTGAGTAAAATGAGATGTGAAAGAAATCTACTAGTGCTTAGCTATGAAAAGCTGTCCTTGTGTAGGAGGTTTAGAGTTGCTAGCGCAAACTCCCAGCCCTATTGAAATAATTGACAAAACTTCCACTGACTTCAGTAGGGACAGGATTGCACCCCATATTCTCTATTTACTGCTGCCATTAGAGGGTGCCATAATTACATACATTTCAGAGCTGTTAACTATGTAAATATAATTCTGTGTATGCAATTCTGTGGTAGTATTTAGCCACAAGAGGGTGATGACTCTCCACCAGTTCTGCTGTCATCATTCAGGAGGCTCCCATGAAAATCTGCCCCTTTAGGTTTCACCTGAGATGTAGAGTAGAAATTCCATTTCAGTAAATTGCAGCAATATGTAACTTCAGCTAATGTTAGAAAATAAAATTAAAATGTCAACTATTGTTGACATTGTCTCCTTTCTCCTGATCATGTGACATAAAGCTGGTTATATAGGGGTGTGGGAAGCTTTGTCTGTAAATATGCTTAGGGTTTTCTGTAATGTAAGTCCTGAAATTGTCTAGGAATATTATTATGTAATGAGTATGCATGTATTTGTCCTAGTTATTGTTCCTGCCCAGAAGACCTAGACGTGCGCTTAGGGTATGACCTGTGTGCAGAGGAGAAGGATTTCCTGTGTAAAAGAAAGAAGTATGTTGCTGCTGCCCTGAAAAACGTTCTCCAGCTAGAGGAGGACTTGCAGGATCATGAGGTAGGGGAAGTGGAATGCTGGGTGTCTACTCTCTCCTTCCCTCATGTGAGTGCTCAGCAAATGTGACTAATAAACTAATAGTAGGTGGAGCATGTGCGACCCATGTAGTAAAGTGTCTTTGTTCCAAAAGATGTTTTTTCAGATGTTTATACATTTCTCACATTTTTACCTTTGGGGTGAATTGTTCTGGAAAGAGTTACCACAAATGGGCCTGATTTTTTAATTGGAAGCAAATTAGTAAGTTACGTTTTCATAAATGTGAAAATTATTTTTGTTGAAATTTTTTCTGAACAAGTGTCTCCTCTTAGCGGTTTGGGAGATTAACTTGAAAGCTGGGTTAAGCTAGTTGCCTTTCAGGGGTCTGGTGAAGGTTTCCTCGAAATCCACATGGCTAAGATGACTACATTGTGTGCAGGTCCCAAAATGTATTGGTTCACGTACCATCTTCTTAAAAACTGATTGTAAAGTGAATGGATGGAAAATCAAGCTTTTCTACCACAAGTGATACACATACCAGACTCAGAACCCCTAAATTCCAGGCCAAATGCAAAGACTTCCATTACCTAGCTAATTAAAGATTACTGTGTCTAAATGCAATCTGTCTCAGGAATTTGTGCACTACGGTGGCATATATGAGACACACATACTGACTCCTGGCCTAGTGTCTGCCTGTCCAACGGGGTGCCAGTGCTGCAGAGGTCTTTATAAAGAAGGAGAACCACATGTGTCTCTTGTGTATCTGGCTATTTTGAAATGTGTACATCATCTCCAGTTCTGGGGCTCATACCTGTATGTTCCATTACCAGCCATAAATGGTCTTGAATGATAAGTACTCATACACATTAACTAAACTAATTAACCTGTGTTTATTGCATTGTGACAAACCTCTTCAAGGGGACTCAGTTAACCTCTCCAGTGAATGTTTTTTAAAACACTTGCCCTCTGTTGCAAGTTTCTGAGTTCCAAAAGCAAAATTTCTGTTCACTTAAGTAACTTAATGATCCGGGAGGGGGATGGAAGAGGGAGGCCCTTTGAGGGGGATGATTAAACAGCATTCTATGAGCTGTGTGAATTTTCTCACAGGTTGATAAGGAGATTTTAAAAAAGAAAGGGGGAATTGAAGGAAGCAATAAGGAAATGAGATGGCTGAGGGTGAATATTACATTTCTTGCTTTAATAAAAGCACCTGAACTTACTATGATTCCTGCCCTATAGCATTATCCTGGGTCTGGATTCTAAACTTATCCCGAGGAAAGATGTATTTGGATTTCCTCTTCCAGTTCTTGATCAAAAACCAGGGAGTCCTGGATTATGAAATTTTGGAATTGACCTGGGGTCATTGCTCCATTTCTGATCCATTTCTAGTTCTGAGTAATCATGTGCACTTGTTTTGCACTAACTTTCTGTCTTTGTGTTGAACAGATTCCAGTGGTGGCTATCATGACAACAGGCGGCGGAATGAGATCATTCACAACAACATATGGCAGTCTATTGGGTCTCAAGAAATTAAATGTTTTAGACTGTGCAACATACCTGAGTGGTTTGTCCGGAACAACATGGTAAGCAAAACTCAATCAGAGATTTTATTTAATCTTCTGTCAGATGTTGGTACAAAAAGGTCTGATAAAAATATCATGGAGACGTTAGTAGCAGCTCTCCATCATTAAGATTGTAATCCCATTTCTATTATGGAGCACTAGTAGCTTTTCTGTAAGTAAGGGTGGAACCAACTTCTATTGTAAAATCTTATTTTAGCCCTTCCCCTTAACTTGCCTTTGAAATTTTGTTTTGATGCGAAAATTACCAGAGTTGGTGTAAAGATTCTGCAAAGTCTGAAGAGAATCTAACAACCTGCTTTTCAGTTACAGGACATAGAATATTATCTTGAATTGAAAGTTTGACTTTGTCTAACATTCCTTTATGTGTGTCTTGCTCAAAATGACCTCTTCCTTCTTTCCATGTATAGCAATTAAGACCCCTTTATTAAGTTACACCAGCAGTATTTGAAGAACATGGGTAGTGTTTAAGCACAGTTATTAGGAATTTGTTCTTTATAGCTTTGGGTCCAAATCTGTTTCCATGGTTGTCTGTTGCTGGCTGGAATTACTACTAGGTGGGGCTTATTGGCTGTCCAGGAGAAGCATGGACGTGCAGCATGCTTATTCATCCTGTCCACCTTATATTTGGGAAGTGATCAACTCTCCCTCCTAGAGTTCCCTGAGGTAGTGCACTTCCATTTCACCCTAAACATTAGTCTGTGTCTGTTTGGTGCCCTTTGGCCCAATGTGGGCAGTAATAAGCAAGCCCACCAACAAGGGGCGGAGGTAGGGGCAATTGCCCCAGTGCCCAGCAATTCATAGAGACCTGGGGCTCCTGCCATTGCTACTGCCCTTTAAATTGCAGGTGGAGCACCGCACACTCTGATGGCTCTAAGGGCTGGGGGGGAGGCAGCGCTATGCTCCCGGCAGCACTGAAGTTGGGTGCCTGCTTGTTCTAGCATCATGGAAGCCCTCTCATCACCACCTTGCCGTGAAAGCTGTTGGTGCCCCTGGTCATAAAAAAATGATGTCCTTAAAGTGAGTTAATAGCACTACTATATTTAAGATTGAGGCTAACTTAGGAGTGGCCTGCACTAGAAAGTTTAACCAGTCTGATTTAACAACTGACTTTACTAAGTACTATAAAATTCACATACTTACTCTAATTGTCTCAAAATTGTTGTCTAACATGAAGATCCATAGTTGATTAATGATCCAAAGTTGAGGTCACGTGAGTAGTGGGTTCTAAGATTTAGAGAAAACCCTCCCCTCCAAAAAGAAAAATACCCCAAATATGTGCCATCAAAATGTTATGGCTCATAACTTTTTTCTTCATATCCTAGCTCAGACTGTGGCTCTGAACCTTCATAATCTTATATTAAAGAGCAGGATGATGAAAGGCTTTAATAAGCAGTAGCGTTAGGATAAAGTAATTATGTCACATGTTCCTAGCAATGGGACTGAGTGTGATCAAAGGAAGTAGCTGTGGCTCTCACATAAAAATATAAGAACACCAATACTAGGTCAGACCAAAGGCCCATCTAGCTCAGTATCCTGTCTTCTGACAATGGCCAATGCCAGATGCCCCAGAGGGAATGAACAGAACAGATCAATCATCTCTGTTGCCCATTTCCAGCTTCTGACAGAGGCTAAGGACATCTGCCCTCACAGCAGGACCAAGCTTGATTGTGTTGTGTGAAGAACTACTTCCTTTTGTTTAAAACCTGCGGCCATCAATTTCGTTTGGTGACCCCTAGTTATGACAGAATAAACAACACTTGTTTACTTTTTCCACAGTAATCATGATTTTATAGACCTGTATCATATCCCCCTTAGTCCTTTCTTTTCCAAGCTGAAAAGTCATGGTCTTATTAATTGCTCCTCTAATGGAAGCTGTTCCAGATCCCTAATTATTTCTGTTGTCCTTTTCTGAATTTTTTTCAAATTCCAGTATACTGTTTTTGTGATGGGGTGACCACATATGCCCATTGTATTCAAGATGTGGGTGTACCATGAATTTATATAGAGGCAATATACTATTTTATGTCTTATTATCAATTCCTTTCTGAATGATTCCCAACATTTTGTTAGCTTTTTTGGCTGCTGTTGCACACTGAAAGGGTGTTTTCAGAGAACTCTTCACAATGACTCCAAGATCTCTTTCTTGAGTGATAGGAGCTCATTCAGACCACATCATTTTAAATATATATTGTTTTTCTTATGTTTTTCAATGTGCATTATTTTGCATTTATCGACATTGAATTTCATCCGTCATAGTGTAGCCCACTCACTCAGTTTTGCGAGATCCCTTTGTAACTCTTCACAGTGTACTTTGGACTTAGTTATTTAGAGAAATTTTGTATCATCTGCAAATTTTGCAACTTCACTGATTATCCCTTCCTCCAGATCTTTTATGAATCTATTGAATAATTATTGTGCCAGTACAGACCCTGGGGTATACCACTATTTATCTCTCTCTATTCTGACAACTGACCATTTACACCTACCCTTTGTTTCCCATATGTTAACCAGTTACCAATCCATGAGAGGAGTTTCCCTCTTATCCCATCATAGCTTAATTTGCTTAAGTGACCTTGTCAAAAGCTTTCTGAAGCTCTAAATACACTCTATCCACATGGTGGGCCTTGTCCTCTGCTTGTTGATCCCCTGAAAGAATTCTAGTAGATTACTGAAGCATGATTTCCTTTTACATAAAAACATGTTGACTCTTCCTCAACAAATTATGCTCTTTATTATGGTTTCAACCAGTTTGCCAGGCACTGAAATCAGGCTTACTGGCCTGTAACTGTTTGGATCATCTCTGGAGCCCTTTTTAAAATTCACATCACATTAGCTTTCTTCCAGTCATTTGGTGCAGAAATGACTTGCTCAATGTGACACAGAAACCCTGTAGTAATGCCAGGATTTGAACCCCTGTGGCGTACATCCTAGGTCACTATCTGACTCAGAAGACATATTTCGTCCCCCATTTTCCCCTCCCAAGGCCAGCAAGACCAAAGAAGGACATGCATCCAGAACAGAAAGTCATATTCTAAGTACTTCCATAAAGCTGATGCTGACTGTAATGTGATGTCAGGATACTATCGTGAGTCAAAACTAACTTCTATTTATCATGATCATTAAACAGAAAATGAAATGTCAGTTCTCTACAATGGATTATCCAGTCTATGTAAATCAAAGATTCACACCTATTAATTTCAGCCTTTAAAATGCTGTAGTTGTAGGAAAAAGGAACTATCAGACACTAGAAAAAACTATTCACATGGGCCTTTTATAAAATAGTCATAGAAAAATGCAAATGATATCCCCCCCCCCAAAAAATTTTGCTATAAAGTTGAGAGTAATGCACAAACTACGATAAACACTAAAAATTGATAATCTCACAAAAAGACAGAATTTTTGTAGATTATTTTTGTTTATTTCTTTTTTTTTCTATATTACCCTTCTTCAGGACCATGTCAAACTTGTATGAAGATGCTTATTGGTCGCAGAAGGATCTAGATGAGAAAATCCGTGAAGCCCAGAAATGTGTGACTAAATGCAAGAGCAATTGTTTCTCTATGGAGCGCATGAAATATTTTAACCAGCAGTTGTGTCAGCGTAAACAAGAGGGATACAGGACAACATTTATAGATCTGTGGGGGCTGATCATTGAGTATATTTTGCATGATGGGGTACAGTATGTATTTATTTTCTCAGAGAGCTGCAGATGTTTTCTCTATAAGAATTAGGAGCAATACATTTGTGAGGACAGATTGCATGCCCTGTGGTACTGTTGAGTTATCAGCATCAGGAAATTCTATTGGAATCAAATTTATTTTGGAATGGTTAGGTAAAGTACATACCATATATCAGGGGTGGCCGAACTTATTTACCCTCCAAATCACATCCAAGTCTTCTGAACTTGGATACCTGGGGCATGCCAACCTGAGAGGGGTTTCATCCCCGCTCCTGGTGAGTCCTAGAATGCTTCCCCCAACATCTGAAGCTCTCAATCCCCGCTCTCAGCTTGGCAGAAGCCTTGAGCTCCCACCCACCCAGTCTGGTAGATGAAGAATAGGGTATGCTTGGGGGGGATCCATGAGCTGTACTTTAACTATAAAAGACCCTCATGCAGCTCATGAGCCAGAATTTAGCTGCCTTGTCATATATTAAATAAATTGTATTGTGGCTGCAGGATCATTGAAAATGCAGTAGATCCTCAACTTTTTGTGATGTTAAACTGAAGGCTACACCTCCTTTTTGCAGATGCAAAAAGAGTTGCAAAAAGGATTGGAGGTGCTGATTATAGTAAATCCTGTGCATGAGCAAGACATTATTAGCAGTAGTTGCAAGTACCACCTAATTTGCAACTTTAGTCACATAGCTAGAGACGTATGTGCCCAGTTTTGCATTCACAATTTAATTACAGGTATAAAATGTGAGTGCAAATTTTACAAATGGATATTGCACTTGTAAAGGAGCAGTCACAATCCAAATTTAGCTTTGAATTATTAATTATGATAAGGCGCAGCTGGGCCACCACTTCCTGCAGCTCGCATGGGCCAGGAATGCTGAACTGCGGCCAATGAGAGCTGCAAGTGGCCGTACCTGTAGATGCTCAGGTAAATAAAGCGTCTGATAGGCTAACCCTGATGAACCTCATCCAACCCACAGGCTGCTTATTGCCCATACTTGAGGAATGTAAGGACTATTTGCTTCCAGCTGCACCCTGGGGAGAAAATTGCCTAAAAGGGGTTGGGGAGATGACCGGTTTGTGGCTCTTCCCTTCTGTGTACCAGCACACATACCAAAGCTGCAACATCAAGAAGTGCAGACTGACTACTCCTGCATGCATTGAGTAGTCGCAGGAGATCGTATGTGCCTGAGGAACAATCACTGACAATATTTCTCCTGGCACAGCATAGCTGTGGTATAAATGCTGCAGTCTAGTTCATAGTAGAGGGACTGCTGTGTCATTTTCATGTAACTGTTTTTCTTCAACCCCAGAAAGACAACCATAAGCTCTCGGACCAGCAGGAAGCATTGAGTGAGGGTCAGAACCCATTGCCCATCTATGTGGCAATCGGTGTCCGGGACAAATATAGCACTCTAGATTTCAAAGGTAACCATGATATTCTAGTGATGTAGTTGATTATAAATCTATCAAGGTTTGATTTTGGCCATAGGCATACTTGTGCAGTTGTTGTTTGTTCATTGCTCTCTGGAAACGCTTATCGATCACAGCCCCATTTGTGCTGTACAAACATGGCTTATCTGCACTGCAGTCAGGACAGCAGTCATAGGCATATTCAGCCTAGCCACGATGGAGCTAGCAGAGTAGCCATGGCAGCATAAGCATCATAGCATGGACTAGTCACTTGAGTACATACATAGGGCTCTGAGCAATATTGTACTTGAGTGGCTAATCCATGCCGTCACCTGTACTGCCAGGCCTATGCTGTTATTTTTTCAGAGACCTAGATTGATCAAAGCTAATTCAGGTATGCCCACAGGTGCTGCACTTGTGCCTCATGGTTGTGTAGGCAGACTCAAAGGGTATGCCTACTCTACAGAGTTTTGACAGAAAAATGGCCATTTTCCCGACAAAACTTGAGTTACGTCCACACTGCAAGCGCATTCTTTTGATAGTGAATCGAAAGAACAGAGGGCTTTTTGTGCAATTGGTAATCCTCATTCTATGATGAAGAAGCCTTTTTGCGAAGAAGAGGAAAATGCACAGGTGCCGTGGTGGCCATTCTGTCCATAGCAATCACTGCTTGCATGTGAGATAGCATCCAGACTGCCTGGACGCTATCTTTCAAAAAAGTGCATCACTTTTTCGAAGTGCTTTTGCAGTGTGGATGTTCTCTTTCGCAAGAAGTTTTTTTGGAAGATCTCTTCCGAAAAAAAGCTTCTTGCACAATAAGCCTGTAGTCTTGACGTAGCCAAAGAGACAGGCCATGCCCCTCAAAACTTACTGTTTTGGTACAAGATGAGAGTTTTGGAGATTCAACATTTCAGGCTACTGATCAGGATTAGAAACGTAAGTGTCAAAATACCATTAACAGACCATTGTCAAAATATGATCTCGCCTGACTGGAAGAAGAAACCATTGGAAATATTTTGACACATCCTGTTTTCATGACCCAGGAGGAGTTCAGTGAATCTTGCTCATCATTATTACTTTTCTCTTCAGCCAAGAGGAGAGAAAAAGAGAACAAAATCAAGTGCTGGGCTTCTTTTCACTGCTGAAATGGAAGCACTGTACTACATCCTTTTGGATGGAAAAGAAATTAATTCCCCATGTTCTTTTAGTCCTGGATTTTCTTCACACTGCTGTTAAAAGACTTCTATCCCCTGCTAGTGAAAGAAAAAATATCTGCCTTCATTATCATCAGTGTCACAGTGTCAAATCATTTACTTTGAATCACATTTTCCAAATTAAACACATAAGACATGTACATACTACATGGCAGATCAATGCTGCCACGGTTAATCTTCTGAGGTTCAATTTAGTGGGTATTGTATAGACCCACTAGATCGAACTCAAAAGATGCCCCCATCAGCGCTGGTAACTCACGAGGAGTAAAGGTGAGAAAATGCTCCCATCGGCTTCCTGCTGTGTGGATGGTGCGTGAATGTGATTTAAGATGTGTCAACTCAGTTGTGTATTTTACTTCGACCTTCCAATGTAATGTGGACCAAGCCAAAGAGTTACACATATACATTTGTGTACCCCTAATTTATGCATGGAAACACACAAAGGGCCTGATTCTGCTAACTCCATTGATGTTAGGGCAATTACTCTGGTGTAATAGCAGTAAAAGTGAAAGCAGAATTAGGCCTTGCATAATAAACAAACAATACAATTCATGTGTATGTGCACATGCCAGTTTAGTTGCATAATTTGCACATAAGGTAACTGCACATAGATGAGAGATTTTCTAACTTTGAAAATCTGTCTCAGAAGATGATGGTTTGTAAATTATACTTTGCAAAGATGAGAGAGAAAATAGAAGGCTTATTCCAGGGGTGGGGAACCTCGGACCCAGGGGCCGCATTCATCCCCCTGGCTTGCCTGGGTCTGGCCACCAGGGCTCAGGGCTCCTCCTCAGCATTGGGAAGCCCATGGAACTGGAACACACAAAATCTACTAGCCTGCCCTCCCTAGGTTCTGGTGTACGAGGGGCATGTGGGGAGTGTCTTTCTCCTTCTCTCTTGGGGACCATGTCAGTGAGGATTTGGGTGGGTTTTTTTCTTCTTACTTGTGTGTGGCCTCCAAGTGATTTTTTTGTGGGTTAGTGGGGAACCAAAAAAGGTTCCCCACCCCTAGCATATTGCATCTAAAACTCTTCTGATTTATTTGGTACCAGTTTCCCTCTTTCCAATCATTTTGGGAGACACTTTTCAATGTATTTTTTGTGGCTCTGCTTGCAGAATGGGTTGAGTTCACTCCCTATGAGGTGGGATTTCTGAAATACGGAGCATTTATTCGCTCGGAGGATTTTGGAAGCGAGTTCTTTATGGGACGTCTGTTAAGGAGGTTCCCTGAAACCCGGATCTGCTACCTTCATGGTGATGTATTATCCTGTGAAATTTCAGCCTACTGTAATAACACAAAACCATAATCAGAAAGTACATATTTGCTGGTCTGTAATATTCAGTGCTAGTAAAATGCCTGCCAGGAAGCACATGTGTCTGAATGTGCATCTATACATCCAGGATCCTCATCTGTTGTCAGTCCCCACTACATCAGAATTGCCCGCACCAGTTTCCAAGTTCCAGAACATTCTATTAGAATAGAAAAAGTCTGAAGTTCAGGACATTTTGAATTCTCAGTCTACAGCCAAGTTTAGCTTTGACCCTGTGTCTCTTGCCATCATAAGCTTAGTGGAGATATGAGTTTATCACAAGTATTACAAACAAATAAATTGTTGTACAACCAAAGAATCCCCATTCAAGGGGAAATGTAGGGCAACTCAAGGCTGGGATGAGCTTTTTCACAGACAGGTGAGTCCTGCTTAGTGAAGTTAGGAAACCCCCTGAAAAAATAAGTGCATGGGACAGTCTCAGGCTTCATGCATTAAAGCTCTGTTCAGCTTCCTGAATATTTCTACACTTGGGTTTCTCCCCCATCACTTCCTCTGTTTTGAGTGCAACATTTGAGTAACTTAGAGATATGACTTCTTCAATTAGAGTTACAGTCAGCAGCTCCACAGTATCAAATACACCGGAACTTGAAGGTTTAGGAATGTTTGAATTGTGCTTCTCAGACTCCTGCGGAGGGGAAGGACAAAAGGCAGTTGTCAATTAGATGCTTCCAAATGATCACTATATTGATTTCCCTTCCCTTCACAGGCATGTGGAGCAGTATATTTTCCCTGAACCTGCTATACATCTGGAGTTTGTCCAACAGTTCAGAGGACTTCTGGCACAGGTGGACTCAAGATAGAATAATTGATATCGGTGAGACATTTTTATATCTTTGCCTTTCCTTTATCTTTAAATTGGAGATTCATGCTTGTCACATAGTATGAGCATATTCTCTGCAGGAAGGTTCTTTAAACACTGCAGAGCCAGGGGAATGCCTTATGCTGCTGCTGTGCAAAGCTCTTTTGGCTGGTCTATAAACAGCACCCTCCTCAGCTGAAAGGGAATTACCATGGCCCATGGACTTAAGCAGGGGGATACAAATCAAGGGGCAATATTGCTGCAGTTCTGATACCTAGAAAAACTGCAGAGTGTGTAAAAAGGGTTAAACATCATCAGGCAATTGAAGGTTATTATGCATCCTGCCAACAAGGATGCAGAATTGCATTGGCTGGTGAGTCTTGCAGACTTGCACACACACAGACTAGAACCAGTTTCAGAGACCAACATGGAGGATAAAACTAGGCAATATTATAACAACGGTACCATGGTTGCTTTAAAAATTGTCTGTTGATTCAATAAATCATCCTAACATCTGCCTCCAGTGTCACTGATGTACAAGGATAACACTCCAAAAAATGATGATACAAATCAAAGCTTTTCTCTCCTTGTCTCCCCTTGTGCAGAGGAAGAGCCTATGTTACCTACAAGGCCGCATGAGATGCATAGTCACGTGTTAATTCCTTCAGGCCCTTTTTCCAGTGCTATTCGAGATACTTTAACAGATCGTCTATCAGTTGCTCAATATCACAATTTCCTAAAGGGCTTCCAGATGCACAATGACTACCTCGGGAATGAGAATTTTTTTAGATGGAAAGGTAACCAGATGCACAATGACTACCTCGGGAATGAGAATTTTTGTAGATGGAAAGGTAACAGCACTGTTTTTTTTTTTTTTTTTTTTTTTTTTTTTTTAATTGTGGCAGCACTGGTTTTTTTTTTTTTGTTTTGTTTTTGAATTGTGGCCTTTGAGATGGTTTTGGGTGTGGAGTTTAGGAAGAGGACCTGGGTTTGGAGGACAGTGAAGGAAATTCAATTTCTAACCCATAAGTAGCAAAATTGGAATCTAATTTTAAAAGCAATTATTTGCCCAATTACCTGAATTGTGTGAGGCTGAAAATCTTTAGTGATAGATTGGTAGGGCTTAACTCCTGTCACCTTGGGGTGCAGTCTCTAAGTTAAACTAACCAATGTTTGACAAAGTTCATTTTCTATGAACAGAAAGAAAAGACTAAGGCCTCAATCCACCAAAGGATGCAAGTGTGTGTTTAAAGAAAAGCATGTGCTAACAGGCATTGCTGGAGTGGGGCTGTATGGGAAGCAGAAGGAGAAAACTGGGTGCTCCTTGCAGGTGAAGAATGGGGTGTAGCAGTTTAAAGGAGACAGGAATAGAAAGAACATAGAGAACCCTAAAGCAGTGAAGATTGTTCCTTTCGTATAAAGCTATGGAATTTCATGGTGTGAAGAATGGGGTGTAGCAGTTTAAAGGAGACAGGAATAGAAAGAACATAGAGAACCCTAATGCAGTGAAGATTGTTCCTTTCATATAAAGCTATGGAATTTTATGGCATGGCCATGAAATTCAATTGTCCATGTGGGCTGAGCCCTTTCTTTTTCAACTGTTTTCTTCAAAGAACTTGCAGGTTTGCTCTTACATTTGTGTTTCTTATGACACAAAATATTTGCCTTGTAGATACTGTGTTAGACGCTTCTCCCAATCAACTGAGCCAACAACCAGATCTCCTGGGCATGGTAGATGCTGGATTTTTCATCAATACCAGCTGCTTACCACTTTTAAGGCCAGAGAGGAAAGTGGATGTCATCCTGCATTTAAGTTACAGTGCAGGATCACAGACATTGGTGAGAGGAGTCAAGTTCTCATTTGCTTTCTCCAGTGATAGCCTTTTGCCTGTAACCTTTCAATAATTAATAGCTAAAAAAATTACATTATTTCAATTATTTCAATTAATGTATTAAATTAATTAATTTTTAATTCCTCTATTAACATTTTCAAGAATTAGAATAGGAAGGTGATCCCAGGAAAGAGTAAATTCAGCTTCCAATTTCAGTGTTATAAATCGGGGTGAGGAACCTAAGGCCCGAGAGTTCAGATGTGGCTCCAGCTTGCCTGGATCCAGCCCCTGAGGCTCAGGGCTCCCTCCCCAGCATTGGGGAGCCTGTGCTGGTGCTTCAGCCCACCCTTCCACACATACGCCTCCCCCCGCAGGGCTGGAGTACACAAAATCTATTAGCCTGAGCTCCCTAAGCTCTGGTGTGTGAGAGGAATATAAGGAGTGTCTTTCTCCTTCTTAGTCAGGGCTCACGTCAGTGTGGGTTGGTTTGTTTTGCTTCTGACTTGTGTGTGGCCCCTGACTGATTTTTCTGTGGATCAGTGGCCCACAACCCAAAAAAGGTTCCCCACCCTGGATAAAGCCTTGTTTCAGACCACTGGTCTACACATTCATTCAAACAGCTCACTTCCATCTTCATGTGGTCTCATCATGACAGACTATTAGGGCTTAGAAATTGTAAAAAATTGATATGGTGGTAGGATTCTTTCAGTGACATGGTTTTGAGAGATGTATTCCGTCTGTGGTGAGTTTCAGTGTAGCAGTTAATGACATTATTCCAATTGCCTCCTATTTTGCTGGGAATGGCTGATGCTGATTTATGAATTTATTGCATCTTCCTAAGGACATCAGTCTGTTTTGCACCAGAGCTGTAGAAGGGACCTAACATGATATACACAATGAATTGATTATGATGTCAGTTCAGACAAGGTGGTTAATACTCTGTAAAACTCAAGTATGATGCAGAGGAAAGGCAGGTATCTTCTGCAGTGTCACCTTTCTCAGATTCTAGAAATCCGAATAAAGATAAAGAGCAATTTCTGCTGCCTCCAACTAGATGTGTGCGCACGCATGTGTAATACACACACACATATTTATATGTATGACAGCCTCTCTGGAGCAGAAATATTTTACCAGCTAGCATACTACAGGGGAAGTTCTGGAAGCTCTCTTCAGGGGAGAATTTAGGTAGAATCTTAGATTTTGTGGTTAAGTTAATTAAGTTACATATAAAGTCCAGGGAAGGGTTACATTTGGATCTTTATAATAAGGATATTCATTTTGTTAGAGGCTGCAGGGTAACATCAGGCTATTAACATATTTGAATAGAATGTTTTTTGTGAGTGACAACAGCTATGCCCCTACTTTTCAAATTACATGATGCACAGTATGTACACCAAACAAAGCTGCATTTTGTCTATAGGCATCCACTGGGATAAAATGAGTTTCATGCAGAAAGGATGCTGCAATTTTAGCATGTTGATACAAAATATTTTCTATTTGTTTAGCATATACAGAGTAGTATATAGTACTACAAGTTGCTAGACATATGCCTTTCAGGTTGTGAAAAAAGTAAGGTATATTACATTACTTGGGACAGAGATAATTAAAATGTAATCTAATTAAAGATGGTATCAGCGTACTGGTATACATTATTATTTCCTAACCTTTGAGCACTTAACCATTAAACCAAACTGTTTTCTCAATGCAGTTATTAGTCTAGCTTTAAAACTATTTACAGTTAGTCAGAGTTAAGGATTTCTATTTGTATCTCCTGATTTTGTGTTGAGTACTCTGGTACATGTAGTAAATGCCTTTTAAAATAGTCCATGAGTCTTAAACTACCTGCAGCCTCCCAGGTGAGCCAAGAGTATCTTAGAGTCATTGTATAATTGTAACCTCCTTTGACTCTAATACTGTTCACTTCTGTAATGCCCTAGCCTCTGGACCAGGCCTGTAAGTACTATGCAGAGCAGAAAATCCCATTCCCCAAAGTTTTCCTGAGCGAGGAAGACAGGAAAAATCTAAAGGAATGTTACCTGTTTCAAGATTCAGAAACACCAGGAAGCCCTATTGTGGTGTTTTTCCCACTTGTGAATGACACCTTCCGATATTATAAAGCACCTGGTAAGTTAACCACAGCTGCAAAGCATTTAACTAAGGATGTGCCTGGCCGGTCTACCCACTGGCTGGATTCCCTTTTCTCATTTGATGACTCCTTCTACTGGTTGGGTCCCACGGCTCATTTCAATTCCATGATGCTCTCCATTGCCTAAAATTACCATTTTCATTGCTACTTATATCATCAACTGTTCCTTGCAGTGAGATTCACAGCCCTTGTTTCAGCCTCCTGTTCCACCTTGTCTCATACCCATCAGTTTATTTTTAGTGTAAAATGTTGTCCTCATATGGCGATAGACCCAATACCACAGCAATGTCTTTTTGAATCTTTTTCCTAGGTGTGATACGCTGCAACTCAGAGATGGAAGAGGGCAAAGTTGATGTTACAAGTTCATTTTCCCCATATAATACATACTCAGTCCAATACACTGATGAGAACTACCACCGACTGCTGAATCTAAGTGAATACAACATCTTGAATAACGCACACCTGATTCTGCAGGCCTTGCATACAAGCATCGAACGGAAAAGACAACATAAGAAATAGACATAATCCAAAATGCCTGTATCTTCTGAGTTGAATTTTTTTTGTATTTCCCAGCACATAGAAGGACCAATTTTTTCTGATGATTGGTTATTATGCACCATACAAGCTACTTAATCTGGCTACCTCTGTGGATTCTCTTTCCCCTCTGTGAAATAGATGACTTAGATGATGAATTTTGGTTATCTATGAAGACTTTATTGATACTTTGTTTCCTAACTAATTTAATTGCAGCAAAACTGTTTGAGGAATATTTTAAAATTATTCCAGAAATCTAATAATGATGTTTGTAAATTGAATGTAGTATAATTTATGGCATGTGGAAAATATATTTTAAACCTTTTAAAATGCAAAAGTAAACCAGACAATTTAGGTGCCATCACTGGGGGTGAGGAATGGGATAGGTTGAATGAACGGTTTCTGCCCTTATAACTTTCCTTCCCCTAGTGAAGAAGTCCACACCCGACTCTGCTGAGCCAATGAGGAAAACATGAGATGCTCCTTTTCCTATTTCAGAATTCCCTCCCACTGCTGCTAGTCACAGATTTTGAAGTTACACTGAAGCCAGGAGCAGGCCCCTGGAAGCATTTAAGCAGAAGACATGCACTCAGAAGTGGAGCATATATACTGCATAAAGTAAAGTAGCCACAATATGTAGGTGGCATTTGATCCCTGATACTACTTTGTTTCAAAAACAGCAAGGACAAATGCCCCACACAGTCATACAAACAGGGCAGTGAATGGCTTCTAATGGTGTAATGAGCCCTCATAGACTTGCTTGAATCAGACACATAGGTAGAGTAGCATCTTACAGAGTAAAACTCTGTTCCTGCTTCACCCTACTGGTAGCTTGTGGTGGGCAGCACCTGCAAAAAGAGTGGTGTTAGCAGACCTATATGTGGAACCAAGTCCCCACAACACTGAAAGGGCTCACCAGGGGGTTGCATTAAAAAAAATCTTTTTCCTTAACAAAAAAAAAAGTCTCTTTCTACTACTGTGAAAGCACCTGGTGTTAGCTGTAAAATGACAAACATACTGTAGCAGTTGTTGCATTCCAAAAACAAACTATGTTGACAGTAATTCCCATTTTACCGATAAACTTTGTGTCTTGATGCTGCAAGTCTACAGCTCAGGGCCCAGACATCGCTTACTAAGAATTCAGAGTTGTGATCAAATGTGTGGTTTTTGTTCTTTTCTGCAATACTTGCTATAGTAAGATCACAAGCTTTAATCTGAAATAGGGTGCTGTGTGAATGCCACATCAGCAGCAGAAATACCATGCATTTGAACTTCCAGTCTCTGTTGTGAAGGAAATGACTGGTTGTTTTTAGCCATAATACTTGTGTCATCACCATTTGGGATGAAATGTTAGTTATAAGCAATATTTCATGTTTTTGTATGTTGCACAATAAAGGGTTGTTTGCAAAAAGTAAAATCAGTCTCTGCTGATATATTCAACTGATACACTTCAGAGACAAATGTTATGATCACATCATGTTCTTTAACCCAATGCAGCTATTATTGGAACAAAGAGCATAACAAACAAAGTCTTGATATGAGTATAGTGAATAAAGGAACAAACTATTCACAGTTACCTCAGTATCAGCTATCTTTTTGAACAGCCTAATATGTGAGTTGAGTTCGCTTTAGATAAACTACTCTGTGGAAACTATTTTACAATTTTGTTTGGGCTAATAAATTTGAGCAGATCCAACTTGTCACCAAAGAGAGGTATATACTCCAACAGTTCCGGTTCTTGGGCTGGTTATGCCTAGGTTCCAGGGACTGAATCTACTGCTGCTGTCATAGATGCTGATCTGGAATCTAGTTCAGGGGTGGCCAAGCAGTTAGAGACAAAAAGCCAAAATTGCCGTGGATAGAGTGCGAAGAGATACGTATTTGTAATGAGCTTGGGACAGCAACATGGCCACCTGCTGACTTAGAAGAGGAAGTGCCCTCTATGACTCCTTGGTGGGCAGGTCCAACCACAACCAGAGGCCTGGTCTGGGGCTACAAGAGCCATGGGCTCAGTCGGAGACAAGCAGCCAAGCCAAGCAGACTCCTAGTGCTGGTTCCCACAGCATAGGCCTCAGCCGTGCTACCCCCGGCCCAAGGATGGGGTTGGGCCACCTGGACCCCTGCCAATCCCAGAGCCCTGGCCTGCACTGCGGAGACACCGGCTGCCACCTGAACCCATGCGGACCCTGCCAGAACCCTTGCTGGGCACCAACAACTGGGCTGGCCCACCAGGAGCCCTGCCTGAACCAGAGCCCATGGACACCCTGCCAGCCCCGCCGCTAACCGAGGATCTGCTGGAACAGCGCCAGAATCAGGTAAGCCCTCAGGGGGGG